GGTAGAGGAATTGTCTCACACAACTTGGACTTGAACGTTGCACTGATGATAATGCAATCCATTATGAGTTCATTGATGTCCCATGAAAGAGCAATACAATGAGCCACGTCATCATCATACATCAATCTAGTGTCCACTGACCAGGTGAAAGAACACCTGGCAAAATTTGGACTGGCTTGCAAAACTCCCAAGTGGCTTAAAGACAGGACACAAGTGCTTGGGCTGCATGTTCAAAAACGATGATGGCAAACTATGCTGGGCACGAGGAGGAGACATTTCAAAGTTTCCATCTGTTATTGACTCGGTGGACAATCTTCTCAGTGTGTAGAAAACTTGTTGGTCATTTTCCTGTTTACAGTTAGCGCCGCATGGTGACAGCAAATATGAAACATTGCGTCAACAAGGTTATAACTGGCTGGGATGACGAAACGAACGACCTCCACCCCCAGGAGAATCCTAGTAGAGATGCTGGTCAGGGTGCAGCAGGATGATCCTATAAGTGGCAATTAGTGTGTAAACAGATATGAATTTATGGTTTGGGTGGATGCAAGCTCTATTGCTACCATTCAGTCATTAAAGATGTGTGCTGGTTGCACCTAGCAAATAACATGCAGAGCTTGATGCAGTGCTAAAGGGAGTTAACCTGGCACTCCAGTGGCAGATGAAGTTGCTATATCTCATGACAGATTCAGCCTGCATCCACCGAGGGATCTCAAATGCCATAACACCAATGCAACCAGCAAAATGGTGCTACGAAGATGGCTCGACATATTCATAGACCTAATTTCAGAGTATGGGCTGTCAGCGGATGTAGCACTCACCAAGTCAGATGACAGCAAAGTTTACCAACTAACAAAGGTACCTCAGCAGTGGCTGAGCAGACTAAAAACAAGTTCAGGCCATCCAGCATACGTGCGCTGCTTCTGCATATTGGCTGAGCATTCAGCAAATAGTGCATATCCATCAATGGAGTGGGCACCCTGGAATAAAACACACGTTATATTGTCAAACAGAGAGACTTGACTTTCAAAAGCTGAAGTATGAGTGGTGGATTGGAGCAGGTTAGCAGTGCACATCACTCATCATGACAATGGCTACTGACACTTATTGATTGAGGTCCCTCGTGATTTGCTGTCTGACGCCTTGACTCATTAGGACTTGGTAAGTGTCGTACGCCAGCTAGAGTCCATATTTTATGAGTGTGGCCCACCGGTGGAGATACTGACTGTATTTACCAGCCAACAATTTCAGCAACTGGAGTATACATGTTCGATTTTGATGTGCCTATGAGCCAGTCGGAAACTGAGAAAAGCCACAGAAATGTAAAAACCTTTATCAGCTAAGAAATGGTCTACTGGCATAATGTCATGCCAAAAGACAGCGTCTCAACCTCGACAGTGCTGACCAACGTTATATACAGGGTACTGATCTAGTGGCCACCCTCGAACCGCAAGATGACCAGGGACAGTTCTGGGTGGGTGTATGGGTCAGAATCCCACACAGTTGGTTTACGCATATGTCTGGGATGGGCTGGATGACTGGAATCAAGTTCTCACTCAGTGCTTGTTGAAGGAATCCCATCATGTAAAAACTTGCGCTCTGTGCTATTCAAGAACACCAATGACTCATCAGAAGAAATTGAACCATTGGAAAGGCTAAGGTTAGTATTGCTAAATGATACTCTGATAATTGGCCCAAAAATTGCTGTTGAGGATTTACTTGGAGCAACACTGTCACCTTCCTTTGAAGAGATTGGTTTACGCACTTCAATGCTGCTTCAAGCTATGCAAGGGTTAATATGCTGGGCAATCTTCTGCTCGTTGCCAACATGCATCTTCAAGAATATCCCCATTTACTTCCAATGCTACTCCTGTAGCCAAAGAATGCAGTCACTGTTGAAGGGAACTGAATAAGTTTTTTTTTTCCCCTGGTGCAATTGAGTTTCTCTTTAGAGAAGTCCTATAAAAATAGATTTTAAATTTATGAACTAATCTCTGCCCAATTTAAACTTTATACATTTTCTTGAATTTCTATTGTAATTAAAATCCCTGTTGCAAAAATCAAATTCTTTCCTTAATTGGATTTTAGTAACTGTTTTTTTTGTACTTCAGACTACAAGCCAGAATTTTTTTTTTTCAATCAAACATTGGGAACAATTGACTTAACTTAAAAATTGGTCTTAATCTATAGAATTGATGAAATCCATTTTGAGAAAGTGGAGTTTAGGAAATTTTGGTTGATTATTTTTGTGTTTTTTAATGGCTTATCAACTTATTACAAGTTATTTAAAGCCAGAAAATATTTTTAGATTGTAAGAATTTTGGGGGATAATAATTATTTACTGATAAAATTTCTACTAATTAACCCATAGCTAGGGGAGAAGCAGTGGATTCTTACCTTTCCCAAGGTAAGATTACATATAATTCCAATTCCTAGATGTTATCCATTACACCAACCACATATACAAGCATATATTACCTGGTATTTTCAAGCAGTCACTGACTAGGCTCAATGTTGCTTAACTGGGAAAAGTCCGCTGCACATACACTGGAAAACAAACGCCACATGAAGAAATGAGAACTCAAACCCCATTTCTAATAAATTTAGGTTTTCACTTCTGCTCTTCATTTGCTCAGTCAGGATGAGTAGGTCAGTGTGTGGTTAGCAATATAAATGAGTGGCATCAGAACAACCTGGGAGGGACAGTCCATCTCCCAGCAATGGCAGACTGGAACTGACTTCCTCAATCACAACTGTGAGTGTTAATATAGACCAGCAACTAGAAATAAACAAGGTCTGGTTTTGTTGTCGCTTGACTTCAAAAGTTCTCATCCACTTTTTCATATTCCTTGCAGTCATGTGGATGCTAGAAAAATTAACTGCAAAGACTGCATCTGTTTAGTATAAAACAGTTGCAGTCTTGAAATTGAAATAAAATAAAACAAATCACAATTTCTTCTTCTATATGGATGTTCCCAATCATAGTACGGAAGGAAAAGACATATTCAAAATGAGGTTAGGTTATAAATTTTTTTTTGATACTATGTTCATTACCTTAAACTTTCTTTGAAGGTAGACATTTTATCACAAACAGTATGCAAAAAAAAACCTGGAGTGATTGAGCATAAAGTTGCTTTGTCCTGAACAATACCAGATCACCTTGTTCCCAATGAAATAAGCAAACCATAATTTGTTCTGAAAGTATGTTTTACAAAGACGTTAATGCAACTGAAATACAATAGCTTATTAGGAGACTTGTTTAAAAAGGAAAAAGAAATCCAACACCAAAATGGAAAATATTCAAATTTATTCATTTCTTTTTTTTTTTCCTTTCAATAGTTTTTCAAAGATGGAAAAAAAAAAAATGTCCTCAAAAGAAGGTTGTAGCAGATATTGATACAAGAAATCGATACTTTGCATCCTCTTTAATGAGCACATATTTGGTTGGAATGTACATTGAGAGAAAAAGAAACAGAACACATGGAATTCTGGCTTTTTTTTTTTTTGCTGATGACCTTCCCCTGCCCTGGAAGATTTTTTCATTCTCTACTGCTAGATTCATTCAGCCAATTCTTAGTTGAGATGAAGAAAGATGACAAACGGATTACAGTTCAATTTACAATTGCTCCCCCCCCCATACATTTGCCCAGTTTCTTTTTCTTTGGAATATTGCATTGTGCTGTTGAAATTAAACAGTCACTTATGAATGAATAAACAAAAAAAAAAAAATTGGTAGTGAAGCATGACACGAAGTTTTGCATTTGGATTAGGCACTCATCTGACAAAGTTCACCAGGACAAGAAAAAAAAAATTTCATTGCAATCGATTCTAACTTTTGGTAACATTTGTCATAAACTTACTCTTAGGTACTTAATAAAAGGGTGGTACTTAATAATGGGGGATCAGAATTTTTTTTTTCAATATGCAATAAAGGTGTGGTGGTGGGGGGATGACTTGAAGAATCAAAAAAAGGGCAAAATTAAACAAGGTAGTCTTAATACTGTTGGGATAGGCCAGAAAATATTCTAAAAAATAAATAAAATGTCCCTCACCATCTATTAAGCACCTAAGTGTAGATTCTACCAACAACTCAAAGTAACCAATTTAGAAATAAACGGGAACATATTTTTTTTTCTTTTTCAAAGCAAAAATAAACAATTTCTAATCATTTAGTGACACATAAAGTATTAACTTGCATTTGTAATTCATTTTTTTTTTTTTTTAAACTTTTGTTATGTTTTAGTGTTCACATACTGTCACCAGAGAATATAAAATTAATTTAAATGTAAAACCCACAAAATAAAGTCAAGTGGTTTAGTTTATATTTACTTAGCAGAACAAAAATAATCTCTGATGAAAGTCTTGGAGTATCAGAATATACCAAAGAAAATCTATTCTTAACTTAAGTCCATACAGAACATCTCGCTAATTGAAATGTGAACTTTGGACCTATTAATCCAAGATGAGTGAACAGTCCAACAGAATAACTTCATACAACCAAAAATTAAGTCCTAAATTCTGGGACCAAATTTTAATGATTACAAATGAAAATTTCTATCAAGGTTCCAGACACAGCACAAACTTAATTTTGGTCAAACAATAAATAAAATTAAAAAAAAAAATGATGATAATAATAATAATAATAATAAAATAACTGTTGATCAGTAACAAGTTATTTTCATACAACAAACTTAAGGGGTTGAAATTTCTTCCCAACCCCTATTCCCATCTTAGCAAAAACCTCTAACCAATAACAAGACTCTACACAAATCTTAACAATACAAGCCTCCCCACCCAAAAAAAAACCCTTTCTCTTGAACAGAACCTTCTTTACAACATTTTATTTTAACCTCAAAGAAGGACTTTTTTTTTCTTTTTTTTTTTTTAATTTTCTTTCTCTGATTAGCAGCAGACTTCTTATTGGGTAACAAGACGTCTGCTCCAGTAAATGACAAGTAGCGGCAACAATCTGTGTTTATTATTTTTTTTTTTTTTTCTTTTCACTCCGTCCGCTTGAGTCTTTGTCCTTTTTCCACAACAATCTTTTGTAAGGCATCCAGTTGGTCATTGATGCAGCGCCGTTCCAAATATGGCAGGAAGTAAGAAACACTCGCATCAGGTGGAATCAGAAGCAGAAGGTCAGCTGTTTGGACTTTGTCAACCATTTTGGATAGCAAATCTAACAACAAAAAAAATAGTAATACAAGTGAGGAGGAACAACGACAAGATAGAAAAGAATATCATATTGCAAATTAGCTACTTTGATCCTTACTGGGTGCTCCCATTATGTCAGATATTACAAGAGTTTTGTTACTTCCAGTTAAGCTAGAATTTTGAATGGGAAAGACCAGTATTATGACCAACTTTCTTCCCTCCAACTCCATTTGACCTTGTATCAGACCGAAACTTTTTTTTTTTAAATCATTTCACCCCAAGCAAGGTGGGAATACCACTAAGCAGGGTATTTACAGGGAGTGAAAGTGAGAGAAATAGATTGACCTTTGACTTAAAGAGTTTAAGATTGTAGGGTTCAGGAAAGCACATATGTCGATGTCTGTTCAACAAATGAGCAATTCTTGGGAACTTTCTTCTTAGATTTGGAATATGAAGGAAATGAGGCGATTGACATTGCATTTCATGAAGCCAGAAGGAAATTCCATAAGCGAGAAAAATTGTTAGCATGTGGCTGAGTGGTTAGGACGTTCACTTTCTGACAAGGGTTCAAATCTCACCATGATCGATTTGTCAGGAAGGTGATGATCCCAGCATGCAACACCTTTTGGAAAGTGTCTGAAATTGGGTAGACGGAACCCTTGGGAGCTATCAATAGTTGTGCTAGCATGAAGTCAGAAGTCATCATGACTGAGGGTTTGAGTGTGCTAGCCTTGTTCAAACTGCTGATAATACTAGACCCCAGAAACTGTAACTAAGGTCCGCTCAGCATAGTTGCAGTATAAACCACAGGTGGGCTCTGTGGGTGTTGAACAAACACAAATGGGCCTGAGCAGCTGTCTGCAATGGGGATTAGCTAGCCACCCTAGTAGAATGGCATCCCTGGATTCAAGTGGCTGCGCCATTTACAGCTACATCTTGCCAGCTCAACAGTAAATTGATGAGATCTCGATGTCTGCACTTAAATTCAAAAAATCTAGGTACCATAGTGAAGAGCTTATGTGAACAATTACCAAAGAAAATATTTATAGAAAAGACACAGAGAAGCAACCTTAGGGCGGTGGGAAAGTGACCAAAGCTGAACTGCCAGGTTGGGACCAATAATATTGCTGATTCTTCTTTGTTTTTTTTAGTTGAGCTCCTTGATAAAATCCAGAGTAGCAATAGACTTACAACATTTCATCTGGGGAGTGGAGAATAAGACTTCTCCCACAAGATCATGTAAATGAACTCTATCTAGGCTGGAAAGCAAGATTTGGGCAGCTCCAGTTTAGATACGACAGATTTTTAATAATGATGAGAAAAAGAGAGTGGCACAAATGTTAATGTTTCTATTCATTCTAATGATTACAATAGATAGAGTGATGTACCTAGAGTATGTATGTGTTAGGAGGGGGGGGGAAGCACCAATTGCATTTGATATCTGTTCTATATTGGCAACATTTTGGCTATTCCTAATGTTACCTTTCACTCATTTTATGTACTAACAAGCAATCTAAATATTTCTTCTGGGACTAGAATTTAAAAAATATTAGTCGCCAATTTTAAGTAAAAGTTTTAACACTCAATTTGTGCGGTAGTGAGGGTGGTAAACTGTAAATAAATATGGCACTTAAGAAAATGGCTTCATTTTTAAAGAGACTTGCAGTCATATGGTCCTTACTAATGGCCACAAGAGGTACATTAAAATAATTCTGATCATATTTGCCTTTTTAAGAATAACATTGTAATTCATTGATTGCAAAAAAAAAAACATTAAGGATTGGAATAAAGTTTTCCTTTTGTTAGGGAGTTATCACTTGGATGACAACTCAAAATACAACAGAGTTATGTCCCTTGTCCTCTAGTTGGACTGCAGCACTTCAGAATTCAACATAGTGATAAGTTGACACACAAGTGGAATTCATAGTTTAAATCCAAAACAATCCTTGCTGTTCTCAGGCATTAAATGAATAAAAATTATTTTATTATGTGTTAAAATACACTTATCTTATTTTCAATCGTTTTTGTTCATCCCAACAACCAGGGATATAACAATTTCTTTTTTTTTAATTACAAATTCCTTGAAATGAAAAAACAAAAAAAAATCCTATTTTTTGTTGGGATGTTTTTCTTATAAATTCCGGTTTTTCATTGTTTAGCATAAATATTAGGATTTGTATTTTATCTTTTTACATTTAAGTTTTTTTTTTTTTTTTTCAAATACTGATCAAGAGAAAAATAAAAATTAATCAGTCATTGAACATACATGTTGATGGTATCAAAGTTCAATTACCTTGGAATACAGAACGGTAAAGTTGGCTGTCATGGCTGTCAGTAGTGAGAATATCATGAAACTTTGTCATCAAATATTTCCACTGAAAAAGAAAATTGAAAAAAAAAAAAAAAAAAAAAAAAATAACAGCAACCAAAAGTTAATATTTTTTATTGAATTTTGCCAAAATCCATATTACATGTTCTTTGGGGTCTGCAGCAAAATAAAGCTAATTAATATTTTTCTCCCTTCAATAATAACAAAATATTTATTAAATGAGCTAAGATTTAAATAAAATCTCAAAATCTTTGGTGGCATTGAAAAAAAATATGCTTAGATGCATTCAGCTTCCTAGAATTAATGTTTTGTGATCAAAAGCCAGTGAACCAACATCATTAAATAATTAAAAAAAAAAAAAAATCTTTTTTTATTTTTATATGGTGTTGCTGGGTAGAGTTAGGTTTTTCTTAGACTGAAGTCAATAGCCTGGATGGATGGATTGATTGATTGATTGATTTGTTTTGTTTTCTACAGCTTATCTAATCTTTTAGGTTATTTAAAGCCAGAAAATATTTTTACAGTGTAAGAAGTTTTTTTTTTTTTTGAGATAATAATGGTTTAGTGATACAAGTCTTAATAATTAACCCAGGGGAACTGAAAATTGGCTCTCCAATTAACAATTCCAAGCAGTTATCCATTACACCACCCACACATCAAAACTTACAGCATCTGGTACTTCCCACATATTCATAAAATGTGAAGTAGTATAAAGTGAACATTTGGAAAGCATGTGATACCTGTAGAGGTAGTGACCAGGCTCGACATTGCTTAACTTTCAGGGATCATACAGGAACCAGCGTATCAACATGATGTGGCCATAAGCCAAGGTGAGACAGAGGATTCCCACAATTTAATTAACAACCATATGTTTATGATCTACTGTATATACTCATGTAGCACACAATCTCACATAACATGTGACCCCCAAATTTTCATTTAGAATCATTTTTCATATCATGTATCTCATATATCAAGTAAGTTACTTTTTTTGAGAGACCAAATTACAAGAGACTAACTTCTTTTCCTCTATCTCTTTATCCCATCTAGTTAAAAAAGTAAAAGAAAATGATAAAAGTATCATTAGTAACACTATACTTGTTGCATAAACAACCGAACGAGAAAAAGCTAAACATCATATAAACATAAACCATGGGAAAGATGCATAGTCACTATGTTTGTATTTTATAATACAATACCAATATGTGAATATTACATCATTATTATTGGATATAATTAAGTATCAGTTTTTATCAAAATTATGTTTATTTTAAATACAGCTGTACTTTTTGACTATAATAAATGGATATAGTTTGGTCAATGGTGTAGTCAAGGCTAGCAATACCTACGCTAATCGTATATTTCATGATGATGCAACCCCCTTAAAATTAGGTCTTCAAAAGTCACATGATACGTGAGTATATATGCTACATAGCCAAAACACACTACGCATAAATGAACACCTCTTCAACTTTCAATTCAGATATTGGTACACAATTGTGACATGTGGAAGGAGCTTTCACAACAACCCTTTCACCAATGCTTGAACAAGGGTCTGATGATAAGATATTTTACTATTTCAGTCTTTATAAAAATCACTTGATAAATTGGAAAAAAAAAAACACCCATCAAAATTCAGTCATGACAAAGGATAAAAGTTACTGGCTTTATGTCTAAAAGAGATTAACACATTGGATTATAGATGTGGCTCTTTTTTTTTTTCTTTCTTTTTCTCAAGTTGCTTCATAAAGATCGGTTATTGAAATTGGAAGTCACTTACCGTTTCTGGCTGCGAGTCAAGCATCGAGGCACAGAACTCAGCCAAAATGTGAGGATGGTCTGCAACGATGGTGTCAAGGGCATCACATACATCAATGCTGATCTTACACAGCAAATCTAAGGACAGTCGACTGTGGAGTTCCCCATGACTACTACTACTACTGCTGCTGCTGTTACGACCAGAGACCGAGGCTGTTGACTCAAATGCAATCTCCACAGTTTGAAAAAGAGTTTCCTTGGCATATGGAGAACACAGCAAAGACTAGTAGCAAAAAAGAAAAGAAAACTTTTAAGAAAATTATAATCACTTGAATAATCTCAAAATAGTATGGGAGATGATTAAATACTTTTGAGATTAAGAAGAATTATTGGATATGTAATTTTGTTGATTTAAAAAAAATAAAAATAAAATAAAAACATTATATCTTCAAAAATTATCAGTTTATTTTCTTAGAGTGATTCATTGATTTGTTTGTTTGTTTTCTACAACTTATCAACCCTTTGAGAGGTTATTTAAAGCCAGAAAATATTTTTGGATTCTAAGATTTTTTTTTTATTTTTTGGAGATAATGATTTAATGATACAAGTTTTATTAATTAACCCATAGCTAGGAGGAGAGGTGGATTCATACCTTTCCCAAGGGTATTTGAGCGTAAGTGAATATAAACCCAGCTGGATTTTAAACTTGGCTCTTTGATTAACAATTCTGAGGCATTATCAATCACACCACCCACACATCCAAGCTTACACCACCTGGTATTCCCAAGTGATCACCAATCTCAGTACTGATCAAGCTTGACATTGCTTAATTTCAGTGATCGTATCGGAACCGGTATTTCAGCGTGATATGGCTGTAAGCCTTTTTTGCTTAGATTTGTTTAAATATGTTTTTTTTTTTATCTTCAGAGAATGCTACTGAACATCATTCAAATAGTAATGACTTTTTTCTGCTTCTACCTGGGCAGGTAAGATAATCATGGGAAAGAGGTTTGCCAAAGTTCGTACACACTCTCTTATTCATCATGAGATAACAGTGACAAGATAAAGCCCCACTCAAATAGTGGTAGTTCTTAGGAGAAAAATCTTTGTGGAACAGACTCCCATGTGGGTGCTTCTCTGAACACTACAATCTTAACCTCTTAACCAAGAGTCAATTATTATCTATCATCCTTATAATCTTCACTTCATACCACCTTTTCCATTATATCACACGCTTTATTTATCATTACTATTTTAACAGTAACCCTTTATCTTGAGTGGCACTCAAGCCTTGTTTTATGTGAACTAAAGCATTTTACAAAGTGAAAATAAGCAGTCTTAATTGAAATTCAAAATTGATTCAGCAATTGCAAAATGTTTATATTTGTAGGTAATCAATTTGTCTTTATTTTCTTATATTCAAATAGCTTGTCTTGTACTTTTTGAAAATTAACTGACTAAAAAAAAAAAAATTCCAAAAAGAAAGAGTTCATTCTCTGCTATGAAGACAAAAAAAAAATTCTTTCTTTCCTGCTTCAGTTTTTATTTGTCCTATTGGGATGTGGTTGTGAATTTTTGTTTGTTTATTAGAGCTTTAACTATATCGGCATCAAACAATTTTTTTTTTTTTAAGCATTTCACCCCAAGGAAGGCAGGAGTGCTACTAGCATGCAAGGGGTTACAGAGAGTTGGAGCAAGAGTAAAGAGGTGTGATAGAGGAGAGGATGAAGAGAAGGACAGGGAATAGATCAAGGCATCTGGAGATGTTGATTGACATTGCATTTGAATATTTGGAGATTATAGCTACCAGAGAAGCAAGTAAGAGGAAGGGAGTTCCACGGATGGGAAGTGCAAGACATGAAGCTATTTGAATAGAAGAGACAGCTACATTTAACCATTTTGACAGTGAAAGGGTGGGACTGAGATGCCAAAAGTAGCGAAAGTAGCTTGACAGAGCAGTTACCATAAAAGTATTTGTAGAAAAGACAGAGGGAAGTGACGGCACGTCTATGAGAGAGCGACTGTAAATGAGATGACAGATCAAGGCCAATCACATTGCATATCCATCTCTAGATTTTGTTGAGGACCTTAAGACAAACAGTTAGGGCTCCAGACCATATATGGCAGCAGTATTCCATGCAAGAGCAAATGGTTGATATATAGATTTGAAGGATGGACTGGCATGACACAGAAAACCAACTTTCCTTGCAGTGGATGAAGCTATTGATTCAATGTATTTGTTTCATCTCAGGTCAGTGGACAGTGAGAGACCAAGCAGTCGCAAAGAGGTGCGCTTGTAGAGTTGATCATAAGACATTCTAATGGGAGGCAGAAAGTGTTCTCTGTGGAGGCCCTTTTATTGGGTCATATTTTGTTTCATGTTGACAAATCAAAAAAAAATAAACTAGTAACTCCCATTTGGTATGTACAAAAATTCTGAGCGTTCTCATTGAAAACCTTTTTACAGACACCTTAATACATATTTTGAAATTCTGTGGGAACATCTTTCCCTCATTTATTATATTCTGTCCCATAATGGTTGTATCAGTGAGTGTATGAAATGTGTATGTAAATGGAACCAAACATTATCGGACAGACGTTGCAGAAATTAGAAATTACTGACATACAATAATTATTTTCATTATTTACAGATAATTTGGATAACAGAGCCGCAATATCATAAATTCACTACTCTGTCTCATAATAGTTGTACAATTTAGTAGATGAAATGTGTATGCAAATGTATCAACTATTATGGGACAAAGGTAACAGAAATTAGAAAATATAGGGAAATCAATTGATGGCAATGACAATTCAAATCATACAATAAATATTTTCATTATTTCCACAAAGATAAGTTACTTTAGAATCTAAAGCCACAAGGACATGAATTCACTTGTTGAGAATAAAGTACTACATCCGTCCCATAATAGTTGTACCATTTAGTAGATGAAATGTGTAGGCAAATGTATCAACTATTATGGGACAGTGATGGTAATATACAAATGTCTTGTCTAGCAGTAGAAAGAGATCAGCAGTTGTTTTCTTACCTGGAGTTTGAGGAGGTCCTCATTACAATTGATACAAGGGCAGATGATCGGTTGGTGATGAATTTCCGCTGGAGAACGGAGATAATGACATACAGTTTGATAAGATTTGGCGCCTTGAAATGGAGGCAGAAGATCCAACCATGCATGACGTACAGCAAAATGCCCAACACCTTGGGGCTGAAAAGAAACCACCACACATTTTCATCAGCACAACAGAAAGCTGACATTTTCATATATGTTGGCATTATTAAACTTAATTTGGAAAAACATTTTAAAGCCAATAATTCTAGTCATTAAACAATCAGATTAAGGAGCAACTCAGGATGAAAATGTTTGTTACAATTTTAATTTCACTTCCTAAATAAGTTTTGTTAGGAAGAAAAAACATTAATAAAATAGTTTACTTAACTTACATCAATCTGTATTTGAAGTTTCATTCATGATTTTATATTATATATATATATATATAGAGAGAGAGAGAGAGATAGATAAACCTAGTGAGCCAGACAAACCTACCTAGGTTTCACCTGAATGGATCGTCAGGGAAAGTCAGTCTGCTCTACAGTTGTATTGAGCTCTTTTGTTAGTTGTTTACTCGTATCGGGGTTTTTTCTTTGGGCTTCAAACTTTTTTTAAAACCTTTTTTTCCCCGAGATTGATTTGATTACTGGCAAATCAAAAATTTGAGGGTTTTTGGAAACGAGTAAAGTTATCTATATATATATATATATATTCCTCACCAGTAACACAACTATGAGTTTTATGAATAATGTAATCATCAGAGAAATAGCCACTGAGTTAAAGATTGATGATAGAATCAATAAATTTCATAAAGAACAATTATCACTATTAAAGACCATAAACTGATTTTCCTAAACAAACCCCTGAAATAGACTACTCAACACAACTAAGAATAGCATTAGAAAAATTAGTAAATGGATTCTCGAAAGAGCATGCAAACATGAGAGTTGCTTTTGGAATTAAGCAGTGGCATAGTATGAAAGCGGCTTGGATTGAGGAATCAGACAGCCAAGTTCAAATTCAGTCAGCCCCTTGGGAAAGATATGAATTCTCTTCTCCCCCAAGCTATGAGTAAATAGCAGGATAGACTGAGTTCTATAGCCTTGGGTGGCAACCAGTTTAGGAGAAGGAAACTAAATTCAAAACTGGCCTGGCGGTCTTGCCCAAGAAACACCACTCCTTCTGCCCCTACGACCCTGATGGGTCATAGGATTCATTATTGTGATATTATGAAAAAAAGCTATAAACTGGTTTTGAAAAAGAAGAATGAGTATGTTCATTCAATTTGACATAAATGATTTTTACCCATCCATTTTTTGAAGAATCGCTAATGAAAAAAATGAAAAATAATAAAACAGACACAAAAACCTAAGCTGTATCATAATGGATGTCTGTGGATAAAATGATCAAAATGAAGAATTCAACATTGCCAAGGGGCTATATGATTGCATGTGAAATAGTTGCCATATTAGGAATATTCCTACTGAGATATTTGTGCAATATCAATAATACAGGACTTTATAAAAATGATGGTTTAATCTTCCTATGTAAAATAAATCCAAGAAACATAGACCTATCAAAACAAAAATTCTTCAAAGATCATGACCTAAATACTATCATAAAAAATGCAAAAGTGATCAACTTTCATGACATTGGATTTGAATAAATGGTAGATATAAACCATATATAAAAGATTTACACAACCAGAGATATGTATGTGAATCAAATCATCCCTATTATATTTAAGCGTTTAAATAAATCAGTACAATATAGATTAACAACCAACTCCAGCAATAAGGAAATATTTTATGAAGCTAAAGTCAAATATGTAAAAGCCCTAGAAGAAAGCAAAGTAAATATAGAATATATGGAAAAAACATAGAAGATATAAATAAAAAAATCATTGCAATGTGTTATTATTTAACATACCTTATAGCCTTAATGCTAAAACTAATGTCAAGAGAATATTTCTCAAATTAATACATAAACATTTGAAAAATTCAACAACATTAAAGAAGATTTTTAGCAAAAATAAAGATCAGTTACAGCTGTGTTAGAAATATTGAAAAATGCATATCTTATTGTAACAATATATTATTCAATAATTATTTAACTTACAAAAAGAAAAACAATGAAGCAAGAGTAAATAACAGAAAAAAATGTAACTGCTGAAATAATATAAACTTAAATGGACAATGTTTGTTTAATAATATTCTTTATAGAGCTAACATACAATCTGTTAAAGAACAAAAATTTTACATTGGTTCAACTATGTGTTTTTGTACATGTGTATATTTTATGTTTTTATTTGTTTGTTGGTTTACTTTATTTAATTTTTACTCACCCACTGTCAATAAAATGCACCGCTCCACAATCATTATAATATGTTATATATATATCTCAATATTTAAATTATAAAACTAAAATTTAAATCTTTTTTTTTTGTTTTTTTAACGAGTATGAGCATAATTTTGATTTAAAAACTGCATAGATGAAAACGTATAGAAAGTGCTTTAATCGCTAGATCATCCGCAGTAAATTTATATCCAGGTCCTTACATTTCCCTTTTCTCAACAGATATTTTGCTAATACAATGTGGGATATTTGATAACAAAATTATTAAAAGCATGAACAAAAAGAAAGAAACTAAATGAAATCAGTGAAACTATATAACCCAAAACATGTTTTAAAACAAAAAAAACTTTTTAAAATTTCAGTGTCCCTCTCCTTGATGCACATGTGCAGTCACATCAACATAAACATCACTTTAGTCCAATGAAGTTGTAAAGGACAAAATGCATCACACAAAAACATTTCCACTTTATGAGAGCAAGTGTATGTGTGTGGACATAGAAATCAACATTGCTTGGTGACTGCCATTTTCATGTTTGAAAATTGTTTTAGCTAAGAAAATGACAGTCACCATGCAGTGTTGATTCCTATTTCAATACTGACTATCCAGGTCGAAACCGCAATCGCATATGTTAATTGACCTCCTAAACTTTAAACTTAAGTTCTACATATTATTATTATTTTTTTTCTCACATATTACTGTTAATACTACTGTTCCCTGGTCTGATTCAACTCTGACCATTAACCTATATATATTTTCTACCTTTGAAAATGAACACTTTTCCAGCATAAATGGAACAAATTTTAAACAATTTATATCTCTTTTCTTTTTTTTTTTTTCTTTTTTTTTAAGTAGACAAAAGAATGCAAACTTTTGTAACACTACATCAAAATTTTAATGTGATATTAGATTGACTAAAATTGAAATTTGTTAAACTTTCTGTTGACTATTTCCTTTGGATATCTCAGCATCAATCTGCCTTTCTATTGATCCAAAGGCACAAAAAATATTATTTCTATTAGAAACTAAATCAGATTTTCTCATTGACTCTTTAAGTTTAAAGAATACTTTCCTCACACTTCATCATTACACAAGAACAAAAGATGGTTAGTATTACCAAGTGTATCTTGGACGGACTACTGTGTGGAGCACGTCTTCCAGGAGCTTCCCACTTGAATAGCCGCTGAAGGTAAATGTTCACAAGAAGATTCTGGAAGAAGAAAAAAGAAATTATATATTTTGGACAAACATTTGAGAACTGGCACCAGTAATTGTTTTATAAGGGAATTTTTTTTTTATTTCTTTATTTTGGTTTCCAAATAAGCAACAGTTAAAAAATGGTGGGTAAAGTTTTTTGTTTTGTATTTTTTTTACTTTTGCAATTATTAATAAAAAAAAAAATTTTCTAATTTTTATCAAGTCCAGAGAACTGAATTTGAAACATTACAAATGATTCATTTATAAATTTTGCAACAGAAAATTATTTTTGTCATTGGTACAAATTGTGGAAACACTGAGCCATGTTCAAGTTGTGTCCTAGTCTGTTGTGTTCACTTTCACACAAAGGCACTTGAAAAAGGCATGAATGCATTTTTTAGCCCCCACTGCCAGCTATGGGTTAAATAACAGGGTAGATTGGATTCTCTAGCCTTGGTAGGCTAGTTTAAGAAAACAACTCTGAATTCAAAACATAAATAAGGCAATGAAAACCACTTCAGTATCTTTCCCAAAAAGTCACAGATAATAAAAGGAAGCTGTGAATGATATAATCACCACCTACATAATGAAGGTAGTAGTATAAAAAAAATAACTCACAGATATTTCTGGAAATATATTCATTCGTTTTTTATCTGAAAATAAAGAAAAAAGTTATTTCAAGAAAAGGCAGAAAGCAACACATCTGGAATTAAAACATTTACAATAAAGAAAAAAAAAGGAATGCTTATTTTTGAGGTGGCAGTGAGTTTGCCTTTCTCAAACCCAAAAATGAGGAATATGCTTGATTTCACAAGAAGAGTGTTAGTGGCTGCTTACAGCTGTACATGTCACTAAAAAGGATCGACTCAAAGTTAGCACCAAACAAAAAAAAAAAAAGTTTTAATTGATTTCTATTACAGAGTACAACTGTTCAATCGATATGAAGCCATTTTGAAAATCTTGAAAACTGGTTGTGCATCCTTGATGTAACTTGAGAACTGGAGAAGACCTTACTGTACATTCATGAATAAATATCCGTGGTATTACTCAATTGACAGTGAGCTTGCATACTGTGTGACTGTCAAATTCCTAATGACTAAGTAAATAGATTCTTCATTTTTTGTGCAGGGTTTTTTTTGGCAAAAGCATCACATCACCCACATCTGTCAGTAGCCACCCCCTATAGTCCAGTTTTGGTTCCATTGTGACTTCTGGATTTTTCTCAAAGATGAAACTACCACTGAAGGGAGGGAGATTTCAAACCATAGACGAGATTAAGGAGAATACAACAGAACAGCTGGTGGTGATCTCAAAAGAGGATTTTGCAAACTTGAAAAGTGAAAGGGAAATTGGAATAAGTGTGTGTAATCCCAATGAGACTATGAAGTGGATTAAGGCACTTTTTTATTCTCTAAATATTACACGTCTGGATATTTCCAAAACAGACTTTGTAAATGCTTAAAACCATTTCAATGAACTTTCTGTCATAAATTTTAAGGGAAAATTAAGGAAGTACAGATTACACTATTTACATTATTCGGATTATTGTCCTCATCTTTGTTGCCATATTTATTACAATGTTTCAGCTGTTGTGCGCTCTGGCCTTCTTGAGGTGGTTGGAATGTCAAACTGAACCCTTTATTTTGCTCAATGGGATAGACTGTTCTAGTTCCATGTCTAATGAATGTCAGTTAACAATTATCACTTGTTAATTCCCTTCTCCAAGCTCTCCACTGCCTTATCCAGGTATTGAACTCACACTCTTTGGGTCCTGTCACTGGATCTAACTAACCGCTTTATCCACTGTGACATGTATCCAGATCAATTAAATTTAAATGTATTCAAAAGGCTTACCTTTACTCTTTTTTTTTTTTTATTTCTATAAGACTCATTAAAAGCATGGCTAGAAAAAAAGTCACAGTTTATAGTGGTTGGTATTAAAGACATCTATTTCTATCAGGCACTCCATAAGTTTATGAGTCTGCTCTGTTTGCAACAGAAATTCATAGTAAATTGATCCAAACTCTAAAAGTTATTTACTAACAATGCCATGGTCACATGTTCAATATATTTCATAGCCAGTCCTAGTATCCCATAAGTACTGACTTTTTATGTGAGGAAAGCTTTAAGAAGAGTATTTTAAAATATGAGCCAAAATGTAAACAAACCACAGAGATTGTATAAAAAGATAGATTAAGCTGTTAAAAATATTTTCTAACAATGCTAAAGTCATATATTTGATATATTTCATAGTTAGGGTGTTGTAGAAAAATAAATAAAATTGACATTAAAATTTGAATTAAAAGTTCCTTGAATTTTTAATTTATTTATATTTATGAAGCTGGGATTTTGTGCAATTTTGGGATAAAAAGAGGCTGGGATTTTGTTTGCTGAGTGCTAACTTTGTCCGGTTTCATTTTTTCCCTGTGATTTTTTTTTATCTGGATTTGTAAAAAGAACTTTTCCTTCCTAAATAGACATAATTTTACCAATATAGACCACATCTTTACACACAACTGATATAGTCCTTTCAAGAATAAAAATTCATCATCCACAAATGAGAAAAGTAATCCCTGTTTTAAGTAGTTTCTTTTCAGTGGCTTGACAAAAACAGTAAAGAAAAATGTAACTTATTTTGTTTGAGTTTAGACACAAAGCATCATTTTAAATAGAAATAGTTTGAGTTTCAAAAAGGAAAATATTTTCCAGCAAAATTATAAAACTGCAGTCTCTAAAGAAAATGACAAAATTTTCAGAAACATCTCAATTTTACAGATTTCTGTCTTTTACTGAACAATGCTTAAGGCAGCACAATTAACAACCCAACTTTCAGGTAAATTTACAAAAGCTTTAATTAAATGTAAAAGAAGTAAAAAAAAAAGAAGAGCAATATAGGTTTACCTTGAAGTAATAATTCAAGAAATTCTTTGATGTGGGCATTTTTGTACATTTCCAGAGAGCCTTTCACCTGCAAAAGGCATTCAAAAAAATGTGAGGAGAAAAAGAAATGTTTAGCCAATCAACCAAAACTTCTTTAGACAAAATAACAGTTTTATTGATGAAATCAATCTTATATTTTGTCTTAATTTATTTATTTTTTTAATTACTCCAATCCCATCAAGGTAATAAAGCCACTAAGATACAAGGGGTTACTGAGAATTAAATTAACAGAGAGGACAATACAAGATTCAACAAGACAGAAACATGATGATTGACATTGCATTTAAAATTTTGAAAATCATAGTTGAAGAAGCCAGAAGGAAGTTCCACAAGTGAGTACTAGACAAAAAAAAAAAAAAAAACTATTAGAATAGAATTTATGCTTATATCTAGCCAATTTCAACAGTAAAATGAGTCCTAGCTGCCAATCTAGTACTATGCATACATGCGTGAAAATCATAAATATCAAAGAGGAAAGCTCATCAGAACATGAAAATATTTGTAGGAAATGCACAAGGAACTTACGTTATGACAGTAGGAAAGTGACTCAAGCCAAGATGCCAGGTCAGGACTGATGACATTGCAGATTCTTTGAATTTTGTCAAGAATCTCTAGATACATAGCAGAAGCAGGAGTGAAAGATGGAAGGTTCTTGTGGTAAAATAAAATTACTTTATAGATTTTCCAAGCAATGTCGATACACTTGACATTTAAAGTTAAATTTTGTCAATCAATGGATATAAATTTTAAAATTAGCTCATCTCATTTAGGTTTTTAACAATTTTATTTTTTTATCATTTTTAAAAACTATCCTACACTATATTAATATTAACGTTTTTGAGGGATGTAATATGAAAGAAAGGATTAAAAAATTAGCAAACTTTCAATAAATTTTCACCATTAAATAAATTTCTTTCTCATTTAATCAGAACCACATTTTTTAAATTAAACATATAGTTATAAAGAATGTAATTTGAATTAAAAGAAATTTATTAAGGTCAAAATATATTGAAAGCGCACTAATTTCAGAATCCACTATGGTAAGTCCAGAATCATACAGCATATCTCCTTTCCTCATAAAATTAGTACAAATATAATGCAAGATACTATACAGTTTTAAGTCTTATTTATTTTTTAAACTTCAGAGGGTATAAAGATTTATTTATTTATTTTTTAAACTTCAGAGGAAATAAAGATTTTTTTTTTTAACTTAACTTCAGGATATAAAGATTTATTTATTTATTTTTTTTTAACTTCAGGGGAAATAAAGATTTTTTTTTTTTTTTTTAACTTCAGGGGAAATAAAGATTTTTTTTTTTTTTTTTAACTTCAGGGGAAATAAAGATTTTTTTTTTTTTTTTAACTTCAGGGGAAATAAAGATTTATTTTTTTTTTTAAAGTTTTTTTTTTTAACTTCAGGATATAAAAATTTTTTTTTTTTTTTTTTAACTTCAGGATATAAAAAGTTTTTTTTTTTTTTTTAACTTCAGAGGATATAAAAAATTTTTTTTTTAATTTCAAGTACTGAATCAATTCAGGTGGATACAGTTTTCCTTATAAATTTTTGTTTTGTTTTTCTCTTCTATCTTATTTTTGTTGCTATTTATCTTCATGCCAGGAAAGTAAAGTAGGATGGATCAAAAGTAAAATGTAGCCTCCAAGAAAAACAGAACTTGCATTTCCTATTCTTGGAAGCCTTTCAGACATGGTTAACTCTTTTATCAATTTAACTATAGAGATCCATGAGCAGACAAAGCTCAAATTTAGTTGTATCACAAAATATCTGATCCAGACAGCAGTTTTTTGTTTTCTTTTTTTAAAACAAGCCAAAAGATTAGGAAATGGAAAAAAAATTAAAATCTTGCAATTCTTCCAAATAATGATAGTAAAGAATTAAAAACAAAACAACTAACCTGCAACAACTCAAGGGCTGTGGTATACGCCAATTGGCCATTGTCATGAAGTTTCACTAAGATTTCCAGTAATACACTTGGGCAACTTTTTCTCATTAACTGCAAAAAAAAGTTAAAAAAAGCAAAAAGAAGTTTCATAAAATCATCAGGAAATTTGGATAAAACTATCCACTGGAGATTAAAGACCTTTGTTCTTTAATTTCAGCCATTTCAAATTTTACATTTGACTGGATTTGTTTTTATTTTATATAACATCGAACATATTTCATTTGTCTGCCTATCAAAGTTGCATTAGTACATAAATATCTTCATTGAGAGCAAATAAAAATGAAATTCATATGCATTATACTTTAATCAGAACGAAAAAAAATATGTATATAACACTGCCCTGGGAATGTTAGATACAAAATTAAGTTTATTATTTATTAAATTTTTTTAATCATTTCACCCCAAGTAAGGCAATAAAGATGCCAGGGGTTACGGAGTATTAGAAAATATGAGAAAAAACACTTAACGAGAAAGAACAATAAAAGAACAGGAATTAAGAAGACAGAAGACAAGACATTGCATTTAAATTTTTGAAGATCAAACTTAATTGAAAAGCAAGAAACCAGAAGAAAGTTCCACAAGTGAGAAATGCAACAGAAGAAACTGTTACCTTACAGTTACATCTGGCCATTTCAACTGTAAAATGATGAGAACTATCTGCCAATCTAGAACTGTGCTTAAATTCATAAAGTCTATGTACCAAATAGGAAAGTTCATCAGAACAATTAGCATGAAAGTATTTATAGAAAAGGCACAGGGAAGCTATGTTATGGCGGAGGGAAAGGGACTGAATGTGAGATGCCAGGTCAGGACCAATAACATTGCAGATTCTTTGGATTTTATCAACAATCTCTAAATATATAACAAGAGGACCAGCCAAGACATAGCAGAAATATTCAAAGCAAGGATGAATGGTAGACTTATAAATATGTAAAATAGATACTGGCAAGAAAAATTGTCTAGCATGACACGGAACCAACTTTCCTAGCAGCGAGCCTACTAATTGATTCAATATTATCTTTCCACTTCATGTTTAGCAGAAAACGTTAGTCCGAGAAGGTGCAATGAGTTATTTTCCTGGAGGTTAGCATCTGCCATACTAATGCTAGGTAAAAAGGGGTTCTTTCAGATGATTAAAAGAAAGAAGTTTCATTTTAGAGGCATTAAAATTAAAAAATAAAATTCACTATCACACACAGTTATTGCTTGAAATAAATTTTCTCCCTACTTTTTTATAGGTTAAATAAGCTTCAACAAGTAGACCAATAAATACACAGCCTAATGATGAAAAAACCATTTATAACAAAAGAAAAGTTATGTACTTTTTGTGGGTCGTGAACCATCTTGACTGGTTAGTGTTGCTCTTGTGCAAATACAGCTGTAGATGCCATAGATGAATATGTCACTGACAAGAGTGGGTAAACTGAGAGAAAAAAAATCTTTGAGTAGATGTTTGTGTTACATTCTTCCTAAAACCAGATGGTCTTCTGATTCATGCTATAATAATTCCCAACACTGGTTGGATGTGAATGCTCCAAAACCCAAGACTGAGCTAAAATTCTGTCAACTGCACATAGGCTTCACACATAACTTCTGTTTTTACCCCCACACACACAAATAAGCAATACAATCCAGAATTTCCACCCAATAGTACCCACTCCTGCCTAAAGAAACAAAATAAAATCCAGAGCCAATTTGAGCCTAAGAAAGGATATAAAAACCCATCAAAGTGACATTTTTGGTTGTCAAATGGTATTTTGGCCCAAATTCACAACACTCGTCAGAAAGTGACTTCCCATCTCCAAAAGACAACTCAACAAAGGCTGTCACTGCAGTAAGTTACAACTTACCCTCCCTCTCCTACTGTATGCCTCTACAGGTGCCTTTTACAACTAGTTTAAACGAGAGACATTTACATAGATTTATCATTTTTGTATTTTACATTAATACAATTGTTTATTTCTTTAAACCTCTGTTGTTTTTTCTTTGTTCTGCCACCATATGCTTAATATAACATTTGTTTCAAAGGAAAAAGGTTTGATTTTAAGCTGAGACTCAAAACCTACAAAGGCTCTATGCCATATCTTAAAACTTGCGGCCAAAATAATATAAGTAAACACTCTTACCACTTTAACCAAAAACCATAGATTAGACCAGACAGAACTTGAAAAAGATTTCATACAAGGTATCTTAGCAGCAACACTTATATATCAAACCTTTTTCCTAGAAATAAGCATACTCAAAGATAGGAAAACTAGATCCAAGTTTTAAACATAAAAAATACAAGACAGTGGCAGAAACAGAAATAAGAGATCAACAAGGTTGTATTCTGTTTTGCACATATCCTTTTGACATTTATATATGGGCTTACGGCCATATCATGTTGAAACACTGGTTCTTGTACAATCACCAAAGAAAAGCAATGTTGAGCCTATGGGTTAATTAGTAGGACGTATCAGTAAATCATTATCTAAAAAAAAAAAAAAAAAAAAAAAAAAAAATTCTTACAATGAAAAAATATTTTCTGGCTGCAAAAGGTTGATAAGTCATAAAAAAAAAAAAAATCACTCATTATTTATGATGATTTCAAACTAATGCTACATACAAGAATATGAAAGCATGTACCAAACTGACTACTAAAATGGTTGAAAAAAATAAATTTACACTGAATACAAAAATAAATCCTAAACTTACTTGAGCCAAGGGAGACAACCTGAAAAAACCAGAGTGCATCAGCTGTGGATGTTGGACACAAATATGCATTAGTTCAGCCTAAAAAGAAAAGGTTTAATTCTATTAGGTAGGTATGCTTGTATAATTAGGTGAGTGCTATGGAAGAAAGATTTATTCTCCCGTTTGTATTTTCCCCATTATGGACATTAATAATTTCATGATATAATAACACCGTACTTCATAGATGGAATGGAATGGCTGAAAGGAAAAGGAATGACAAACATGCTTTTTTCTCAGAGAGACTTTTATACTTCTATGACATACACAAAACTATATATAAATATTTATACATATGCTATGCAGAGAAAAAAATATAACACAGCAAGCAAAGTGAAAGGAGAATGAAAAGATAGTTTTACATATAATATGGAGATTCTTCTGTGTTTCTGGAGAAAACATGTTTAAGACTCCAGCCAGATTGATTTACTATGTTCCAAGTGAGGACATATTCCACAAACAGGAAATGGCGAGTCTTGGGTTTTCCCAAATTGAGGACTGTGAGCCAGAGTTTCTTTATCATTTAGTTTTAAAGAATTTCTTTCTATATCTGGGGAAGATGTATTCTTCAAAGGAAACGGACTGCTGGGGGAGGCATTCAGTAGGACGAGATAAAGGTAAAACTTCTGAAAAATCTTGACATTGTCTACACAAAGCTTGTGTGATTTATATAGTATTAGTTCACCTATGGTTGATAACAAAGAAACAGAAAAATTTCTCAAGCTCAACAGAATTACTTGTAATCTTTATTCTATCTGCATTTCATTCAAATTTCACCGGATTTTCACCTTTTCCTTTAATTAACCAACATGTACTAATTTACAGGTGTAAAGTAATTAGCAAAAAAATATCCAACAAACAGAATTAACAAAGTTTGCAATAAACAATAACAAAACAAAAGAAAAGAGCAAAAATAATATTAAGCAAATAATATATGCAAAACAAAAGTAGGCAAAGCAACAGTAATGAAGCAAAAAAGTTCACAGACTAAGAATGGTGTTAACACACAAAAGGGATACAGACAAGTGATCACAGCATTCTGACTTCAAGACAAGAAAGAATAGAAATATGGCAGATGAAACTGAGAAGTGGCTTATCTTATTGGCTAGAAAGAAATCCCAGCATGCATCTATGATTTGTCTATAAATTTGAGGAGTGGGGGATGTTTTTGCAGTCATTTCTATACAAAATTGGAACGGACAACAGGGGATTTTAAAAGTAGGATGACTTGATTAATTGTTGGCTTAAGTGTATTCTAATGTAACCATCAGTAAACTGGCAAAAATCACTTATCTAGCATCCTACAAGTCCCAATAATGCCAGATTAGTGATGTTCAACCTATACTGATAGATTGAAAATAGTGTATATATTACCTATGTAAATTCATTGCAAATAGTTTTACTATAGAAATGCACTGAAAATCAGAGAAAAGAAAGAAAGGTTTTTTTTGTGATCAGGAAGTAATGCCACAGGTTCATTGCACTCATAAATCCAATCAAGGTAAAAAAACAAAAATCAAAATAGCAAAGAAAATTTTAACTATTACGAACTTCTTCAAAATCACAAAAATACCTTATTTTTGCAAGGTGGCATCGATATTTTAATAAATCACAAAAAATGTTAAAATGCTCAAAAATATCAACATGAATTCCAATTTCCTTTTCAAATTTCCTTTTCAGAATTTATTTTCTTTCTTTTCACTTGTCTGGACATTAAAAAGGAAACACTAGCAGAAGCATGAAACGCAGAGTAATCTGACAAGCCCAAAAAATATGAAGCAAAAAAACAAACAAAAAAAAACAACAACAACAAAATCTTACTTTTGGTATAATGGACAACTCCATTTCTGCAGGGTCTGTTTCACAAAGATCCAAATGCAATATTGTGCAGGCCAAGTGATTGAGGTAGCTGCAATTGTACAAAATATATCAATTCTTTTACAACTAGCTGACATGTAAAAATAATCACTGGATTAAAACAAAATATATATTAGAATTTGGTTTGTTTCTTTTGTTCCTTATTTAGAATATAATTTATGCCCTGTCATTACAACAGATAAATAATGGACCATTGCATTTTGATTTTAAAGAAAGATGGAAGAAAAGAAAGATGGAAGAAAAAAAAACATCACAGATGCTGTTTAGTATTAGTGATTAAAAGAAAGAATGAAAGGGAACATAGAGGATACATTTAAAATCTGCTTCAGTGAAATAGAAAACCTTGTCAATTTTGAATCATTTGTTACTTGTTACTTCTTTAGATAATGACTTGTATTCAATTTTTATGATTGTTATGGCAATATTTTGTTAACATTCTTTAGCTGAAATATTTAATAATGCAATAGGGAAATTTCATAGTTGTATAACTCACAAGGAACTAATTCAACCATTAACTTAAGAATTATAATACATCAGAAAATTCAAATAGGAGAAATGCAGTGAAATTTTCATGGTCAATATTAGTATCTATAAATGTGATATGTATTTAGCTTTCTTTTTAATATAATTTACTAAGTGGCATTACTTAGATAGTCTCACCCACTCAAACAAAATAGGAAAAAAGTTCAAAGGAATAATTTTTAGCGATCAGAATTCTTAGCATTCCTCAAAACCACATTTGTCAGAACAAAAAAAATATTTTATTGATTTAGAAAAAAGAAAAAAAGTGTGTGTGTGTGTGTGCATGTGGAGGGTAAAGTTGTTCATAATATTGATTGTAAAAGTCAGGAATTGATTTGACACAGAGTTATCTTGACTTGGGTTTTATTTATAAATGTCTAACCATGAAAATATGCTCACATCATTGATATCTGCATACTTTTTTTTTTATACTTTTCTTAATTCATGTAAATTTTTGTTCTTTAATTAAAAATATGGCACTACTTTAAAACTATGCATCTGTTTGTTCTTTAATGACAAAAAACATTTTTCAAAAAGAAAAAAACAATTTCTTGCGTAAAATATTGTCTTACATTAAAACATAAAAATGTACATATCCATTTGTTCTTTATTTAAAAGAAAACATTTTGTAAAATAAAGTCTGTTTTTCTATGCAGACATCAATGACATAAATACAGTTCCTTGACATTTGTAAACAAAAGGCTAATTTCAGATAACTCTGTAAAATCTGACAGGGATTGATTTGACACTGGATCAATATTAGGAAAAAGACCTCCTACTAAAATGATAGCAAATCAATTTTTCCAAATCTGACAAGTGTTACAGGTCTAAAAAAAATGTTAATCTACAAAAATTATTGCCAAAAATTTTTTTCCATATTATTTTTTTTTTTTTTTTTTTACAAGTGGACCAGTGTATTTAAGTAGTGCCTAATGAGTTTATAATAATTAAAATAGCTTGACCAGACTTGATGTTGCTTAACTTTTAACTTTTAACCAATGTTTCAACATGATGTGGTTATAACCTGAAAACTTAATAAATTGCGTTCTCCAGGATGGTTTGAAGCTATGCCCCACCCCACTTTGCAAGAGAAATTTTTATTACTTCAGTCCTGCCAGAGAGCACAATTTCTTTAAGTTTTCTCAAGTTCACAGACTAGTAGACATAATATGCACTGTTTAAAAAAACAGATGCCTATTCAAAAAATAACATTGAAAGTATAACACACGCATAACATTTTTTAAGTCACTCATTTTCTTTCTCTTTTGTCATGAGAAATGCCAGCTTGGGAAAAATTTAAGATTTCATTATTTTAAACACATGCAAATGGTTACACACACAATTCATGTTTTTGTCTTTGATCTGATGAAGCCTAACAGGCAAAATGCATAGTCAGATGTTTTTTCGAAACACACACACACACAATGCATATTTAAACAGCAGCCCTTCTTTAATACAAGTCTGATTAAAGGTCATAGATGAGAAATGTTTTTTTAGTGTTTTAGTTAACTTTTCTTTATATACTTTGGATCCAGATATAGGTTTTCTTGTGTCTTAAATAAAAAAATCTTTTTAAAATTCCTTGTATATATCATACATGTATGCACACATATATACACACACAAGAGCTGCAGCCATATTAGTGGTGGTATGGTTACAATAGATAAGATTATGAATGAACTGTACCTGCGTTTGCCTTGCTTAGTAAAAGTTTGGTCATGTTTCATAATATCTTTCATCATTGATAGAACTTTCTCTGTAAATACAAGAAAAAAGTCTATGAGAAAACTGACAAATTTACTCAAACAATGCAAGAAAATTATGAAAACAAGCCATTTAATTCCAAATGTTACAAACTATTTTAAATATTTTTAATAAGTAAATTTATTAGTAATTTTTCAGCTAGTATTTTTTTTTCATCTTAATTTCAGTTGCTTTTTATAGCAACTTCTCAAATCATCATTCTATGGCTGTTAGCAAATAGTTTGGATTGGAAAGAAAGAATGAACCTCTAGTGAGACTTATTTTTAATTCCTTTTCTTTACAAAATCTATCTTAATATGACACCAAACACTTAGTGCCTAACAGATTAATTTACAAAAACCTATCAGCTCCAGAAGCTCAAAATTAACCACAAAATTTTCATTCTTTTTACTTGAATACCTGAATCACCAACATTTTAGCATTTATCTACAGTATCTTCTTTTTATGTGCCATGTCCTTTCAGAACGTAGGCAATCATGGCTTTCTACCTCCCTCTATCCTTTGCAGCTCTCAGCAAGTTCCTTCCCTCTGCCACCTCCCCCAGATTACGTTCTATCAACCACTTTCTTAAGCCCGCTAGGTATATCATGCATTGTTCTCCCTTGTTTCTCTTTCCCTCTACTCAACCCATGAATATCAGATTCTCCAGGCCTTCCTTCCTCATTACATGTCCCAGAAACTTTAGCTGCTTCTTCCTGATGTTAAGTACAAGCAAGCCTCCTCCTTGTTTGCATCCTCTCCAAGATCTCATTGTTGCTCACATGCTCGGTCCATTATATCCTTAACATCCATCTGTAGAACTACATCTCCATCGCCTCAAGTCTCTTCTTCATCTTTGAGGAAATCGTCCAACATTCACTGCTGTAAAGAAGGAGAGATGTCACGTAACAGCTCAGTATTCTTTTCTTTGTTACCAAAGAAATCCTCCTGTCTCGCAATACTCTGCTTAGCTTTTGGAATGCATCTTTGGCCATCCCGCTACGTCTACAGATCTCAGTGTCACATTTACCATCCTCTATCAAAATGCTTTACAGTATCAATAATATTGTTTTCAGTTTTATTATTTAATGAAGCAGAATCACTCTTATTTCTCTCATTTTAATTTCAGTTGCTTTTTATTGCAACTTCTTAGACCCACATTATTCTTTACTTCTGATTCATACTGACTACTAGCAATCATAAGAGGAGGCTGAGAAGTTGTTATAAAAAGCAACTGAAATTAAGATGAAAGAAATGCTGGCCAAAAATTAATAATTATCAATCTTTCATATAATAATAAATTGGATATTACAAGAAAATATGTTTAATCGTACAATGTTATTCTGCTACAAATAGTTCAACAAATAATAGCAAAGATATTCTTGATCCAGAGGATCATCAAAAATTCCAAAATCCAAATCATTGCATCTCCCCTCCACAAAATAAAAATATCTAAACAGAGATAAGATTATAACTGCATTGAAAACAATAAAAACCATTCACCTGCAGAATAGTTTTTCAGCTGAGAAAGCAAAATGATCGAAGACACATCAAGGCCGGAACACTTATAAAACACTGACAATATTAAATCTCCTTCCTCCTGCAAACACAAATAGAAAACAATGTCTGAGAGAAATATTCAAAAGTCAATTCTTAAAGTACACAGACAGGTTTACAAAACAAATATGTCTAAACTTAGATTCACCCTAATGATTACTTATAGAAACATTATATATAAAATAGGCAGAACATTGTTACTACATTTATCATATGTATTTCATATAAAATAAGTTTGTATATTTGGGCAGAAATTTGTTCTTTTAAAAATAGTCAAAATTTATATTGTGTAATTCAAGGTTTTGACTACCATGTTTCATCACCATCAGGTGTGAGTGAGGAAGAAAATTAAGGGTGTTCTAAGCAGCAGATTGCAATGTGTTTTTTGTTGTTTTCAAGCTAAATCCAGTGAAATGTTTTTTGACTGATTTGTTTTTTATGGCCTATCACAACCCTTTTCAGGTTATTTAAAGCCAGAAAATATTTTAGATTGTAAAAATTATTTTTAGATAATTTAGTAATACACGTCTTACTATTTAACCCATAGATAGAGGGAGAAGAGGTAGATTCATACCTTTCCCAAGAATATTTGGGCATAAGGGAACATATAAACCCAACTGGAATTGGAATTCAGCTCTCTGAATAACAATTTGGAGCCATTATCCATTACACCACCTGCACATCCAAGCTTACAGCAGCTGGTATTTCCAAGCAGTCACCCATCTAGGTATTGACCAGGCTTGAGGTTGCTTAACTTTGGTGATTGTATGGGAACCAGTGTTTCAATGTAATGTGACCATAAACCAAAGATCAAGTGAGGTATTGTCAATTTTTCTTTAAGTGGTGAAAACCCAATGAAATTAATGAAGAGCTAAAGGGACAGCTGAAGTATGGATCACAAAAAAAATAAAAAAAAATAAAAAATACAAAAACAAAGTCTGAAATTACCCACAATTGCAAAAGTATTTTCGACATTATGACAAGCAAACGGAACTAGTGGATTTTTCAAACTAAAGAACTTGTGCAAATAGATTTATAAAATATGCTAGTAATATTGGAAAGGAACTGTATAGTAAAGAGTGTTCCAATAACTTGGACCAATTTTAAATTTAATTCACATTTAAAATTGGTCCAAGTTACTGGAACACCCTTTATTATTGTAATTCTTTTGATGCTTGTCAATGTTATATTAACAAATAGATATACAATAAGTAGAAGCAAAAACACTTACAATATGACCAGATATAACAAATACAATATGAATTCAAAAGGTTGATCATTTATCACTTCTTTTTTTCTGTTCAAAAACCAATGCAAAATATTAGCATCAGATTGTTTCCACTCACAGGATTTATAACAGTTTACTGTTAATAATTCAAAAATGTTATTATCATGTAATTATGACATTATTCAATAAAAACAACGTGAAGGTCATTCACCAACCTACAAAAAAAATAAAACTGACATGAATACTACAGTAATAGAGTAAAAAAATAAAATTACTTGAAAATGCAATTGGAGGATTTGCTCCTGAATTTGGTAATATTTTTTTTTACTTAATATTTGTTTAAACAAATTTCTTTTCTTTTATCATTTCACCCCAAGTAAGGTGACAATGTCACTAAGAGGCAAGGGGTTATTGAGGGTGAAAGGAAAATGAGAAGGTGTTAGTGAGAAGAAAGGACAATAAAAGAACAGGTTTCAGGAAGGCAGAAGTTGGTGATTCATGTTGTAGCATTCAATGTGTATATATTTCAATGTCAAAAGCAAGGAAAAAAAAAAAAGATCCTCAGTAGCCAGGAAATTAAATTAATATAAATCTTTGGCTGAAGGGAATCAAAGTCCTGAAACATGTACCAACATTCAATAAAAGATATATATGTTATTATACTTATAATAGCCCAATTCTGTCAATAGCATTTGCATTAATTTGTAATTACTGACAATTTTTTTTCTTTTGCAATCTATTTCTATAGTAAAATCACTAGCAATGCATTTACATTATACATATAATTGTTTATAATGTAAATGCATTGCTAATGGTTTTACTATAGAAATGGATTATATGTATAATAATTGATAATGGAAATGTAGCTAATTGGTTAGAACATCCACACACATTCTGATCATGAGACCCAGGTTTGAATTTTACCAGTCGATTTGTCAGGATGGTGACCTTGATGCTATAGGCCTGGGGAGGTGATCCCAGCATGTGGCACCTTTGGAAAGTATCTGAAAACCATACTATAGGTTGACCCAATCCTTGTGAATAAAATTTTATTGATGAAACTATTCAGAAGCTGTCAATAGTTGTGCTAGCATAAAGTCACAAGTCATCATGACCGAGGGTCTGAGTGCACCAGGCTTGTTCAAGCTGTTGATCACACCAGATGATGTGCTCTCCTAGAAACTGTAATTAAGATCCAGTCAGTATAGTTGCGGTATAAACCACAGGTGTTGAATAAATGCAAATATACCTGCTCAGAGATTAGTCACCATAGAAGAAAGATTTGCTTTGAAAAAAGTAGCCAGCCATTATTATAATAATTGTTTTTTTTTTTTTTTTTTTAATTCGAATCACCCTGATGTAATGGAATAACCTGTCACCCCCATGAGTGCCTACACTATAGGTAGTAGCTACTTATAAGTATCTCTAAGTCAACGGACTACAGAGACTAGCTAGGACCTGTTGAGTACAGCTCAGACTTACACGAGAACTACCAACCTTCCAATAGTAGCACTCACTACTGGATTGACTTGTGATGACTTTGTGCACAACTGTTACCTTTATTCTTATTGTACTGGGTTTTTAAAATAAACCTTTACTTATTTTATCCACTTTGTTTTTCAAGTATATATTCCTATTAGCACGGAAGGAATATAACACACCCCAAGCAAGGCAGTAATGCCACTAAAAAAACAAGAGGTCACATGATGCTGAAGAATTAGGAATAGAAAAATTAATGATGAGCAGAAAGGGAAGAGAGTAATCAGGAGGACAGTAGATAGCGATTGACATTGCATTTAAATTTTTGCAGATTAAAGTTGGTGGAAAGCATGGAGCTAGAATGGAATTCTACAAGTGAGAAGAAGTGAGAGAAGAAACTCTTAGCACAGAATTTACAGTTACAGCTAGCCAGCTCAACTGTAAATTTTTGAGATCTCAATGCCAGTCTAGTACTGAGCTTAAATTAAAAAAACGCTAGGTACCATAGCAAAGACATCATTCAGACAATTACCATGAAAGTATTTACAGAAAAGACATAGATAATCTTACGATGCTGGAAAAGTGACTGAAGCTGAGCTGCCAGATCAGGACCAATAATAATGCTGATTCTTTTTTGGATCTTAGCAAGGAGCTCAAGGTAAATAGCAGGGGAACTAGGCCATATGTGACAGCAATATTCTAAGCATGCATGAATGGCAGACATATAGATATGTAAGATAGATTCTGGAGAGAAAAATTGTTGAGATAGTGAACTGACTTTTTTAGCAGCTGACCTAGCAACAGAGTCAATATAGTCTTTCCACTTCATATCAGCAGAGAGCATGAGCATGAAGTTACGACAAGTCACTTTCCTGGCGGATAGCATCAGTCATGCTGATGGAAGGCAGCAAGGGGTCTCTCAGATGATTAATGGAGAGAATTGGTTGTTTTTTTTTTAATATTTACATGGTTATAGCCACATTATTATAAGTATACATAAATCATGTGAGCAGATTGTTTTACTTTATTTTAAACACATGTGAAACTGACATGTTCTTTTGAATGCAATACCTGGAGCGCTGTTGATAACATTAAAGAATCAACAAACATTTCAACCAGAATACATAAGTTGTTATTATAAAATGCCTATATAATCATTTATGCTTTTAATTTAACTTGAATCTAAGGAGGAAAAAAGTTCACTGGAAGTGTGGGAGCCTTAGCATATCACTCACCTGTGTCAGGTCACTTAAGTCATAAGTTCCAAATATTTTGTGCCGTAGATAGTGAAGAAAACCTTTGCCATTTCTAAAAGTGATTGCCTGAAAGGGATGAAGAAATATTTGTTAGTGGAAAATTCCAGGATGAGTTAAATATCATTTAAAAAAAAAAAATTTCTTAGAAAATAAATCTGATAATGGCTGAAGTATTTTGCTATCAACAGCAAATCTATGATGTTCAAGTGTCCAAACAACATTTAGTATGCTAATGACTCTTCTCAAAGTTTTAGACAATAATAGATAAATATTTACTCAGCAGTTCATAAATGCTATCAACTCATACATGACTTGGACTTCCTTATATTATAACCTGATAAGATAAACTTATGATGATATAATATTTCACTTTAGACTTTGTACAGAAACAAAACACCTTTTGGTATTATATGCCTTGCTATTCAAATCAGCATGCTCATCTTGGTTGCTATTCTCACAACGTTTCAGCCATTGTACTCTCTAGCCTTCTTCAGGTGTGTCTTCATACTTAGTAACCTTGATGGGGATAAATTGTTTTTGTTCTGCTTTCCATGCTTAGTAGATATTTCATATCAGTTAAAACTTACCAGTCTTATTCACCTAGGTGTTGCCTGTCCTTTTCTTCCAGAGAACCCGAGTATATGGCTTTTCAGCAATACCAAATCCCAGGGATTAAACTCACAAATATTAGAAGAAGGCCACAGGGGAATGTGATGTAGTGACAGGACTGATCACTAGAACCAGAGGTTCTTTTCTAATAAAGATAATGGAGATACTGGCTGTATGAATCAGCAGAATTCAGTCAGTCTCTTGTGCATGCTAGAAGCCTTTAACTGATCTCCGTGTTTCCATCGGGTATCCCTGACAGGTCTCTGCTGCATTTGTCTTTCATGAGCTGTAAGACACTACAGGGTCAACAGTCAAAACATTGAGTATAACAACCAAGATGAGTATACAGGTTCAAATTTTAAGACATAATAATAATAATAATTCCTCATATTGAAAATTCTGACATAAATGCTTTTAGGTATCAAACACAATCAAATTGGTCAATATATAAAAAGATTCTGTTTGTGTATGTGTCTGCAAACAAGATAAAGTAAAAAGACTGTTATACTTGTTGTTCTGCATTTAGTTTTGTTACTTTCTGTAGTGCTTCTTTCAGTCGGAGCCCTGCCATATTGTAATAAGGCAGACATAGTTTCCAGTCAGATGTTGGATGCCTGCAAGACAACAACAAGACATTAATATTCAATGGAGATTGCCATGCAACTAAGCAATGTTCAATTGATGTATTCTTGTCATTTTATCTGAACACTATAAATTTGTGTCAGGAAAACTATCTTAATCAGATTGAATATTTGCCACTAACATTTCAAACAAATAATTAAAAGATAAGTTTCATTAAGTCCTTAAAATTCAAAATATGCCAAAAAAACAAAAAGAAAAGACTAAACAAAAACAAAACAGTAAATTTTAAATGAAATTAATTTTTTTTTTATTTTTTGGGCTTATCAACCCTTGCGGGCTATTTAAATCCAAAACCTATTTTGGATTGTAAGAATAATTCTTTCTTTGCAAGCGAGTATTATTGCATTAACAATTTTTTTGGAGATAAAGAATTTTTCAACATATACATTATACTATTTAACCCACAGCTGAGGAGGAGAAGAGATTTATACATTTCCCAAATGTTTAATTGAAAAACAGGTGTTCAAAAATGAAAGCATTCCAAGAACATATTTTAGCCTCTGATACTGCATATATATAAGTAGTATGTATTTACATACTACTTATATACATAAGTAGCATGTACTTATAATCATTGCAAAATGAAAACTATGTCAGTCATAAATTTCTTTGTTTTAATTTAGTGTTCTTCTACAAATTTGGTTAACAAAGATTTTTGACAAAGAATGGAATAATTCAATAAGAAAGATTAGCAGATAACATGATCATTTTTTTGTGGTTTAAAAGCAAGGATAAAAATTGCCTTTTCTAAATTTCATCATGAGAAATATAGCTAAACAAAAGAGAAATTTTTGTAAAGTACTTTTAAACAAAAGCTGATGTTTTGCTTGAAAAGTTCTAAGTTGATTATTTCCTTTTATTCTTTATTATATATAATTATTTTATAACTCATACAAGGTACAAGAGCCACTCAAGGTAGAGAGTTACAATCAATAAAAATGGTAATGCTGGATGAGGTGTATGACATGAATGGAAGAGAATGTAGCATAAAAAAATGAAGATTTGTATGGATAAAGTTATTTTTACAGTTTATCAAACATTTGCAGGTTATGTAAAGCCATAAGTATTTTTAGATTGTAAAATTTTTTTTTTAGATAATAATGATTTACTGATACAAATTCTGCTAATTAACTCATTACTGGGGGAGATGAGGTGGATTCATATATTTCACAATGGTATTTGTGCATAAGTGAATATAATGAACCCAATTGGAATTGGAATTTGGCTCTTCTATTTCCAATTCTGAAATATTATCCATTAAATACCTCCACATCAAAGCTTACAGCACCTGGTATTCCCAAGTAGTCACCCATCTAGGTACTGACCAGGCTTGATGTTACTTAACCGATGATTGTACAAGAACCATGAAGATAAAGAAAAAACATGACACCTGATCCTTAACTTAAAGAGGTCAAGATTGAAGTGTTCAAGGAAGCAACCACAAAAATGGCAGAATTATGTGCCTGAGCAAGACACCTTAAAAAGCATTATCTACTTTTTTTCAGGTTCTAAGAAAAGCATCCAAAAATAACCTAAAAGGCTTAAATTCAGGCTATAAATGGCATTCTGCTATTATGTCAATGGTATTTTTCCTCCCAAAAAGATCAAATATTTTTCATCTGTCTTTTTTTTTTTTAATCCTGATACCCTGCAGTATACTGAATCCATCGCAAAGTCTGCTGCTAAGAAAGTTGGTTCACTGACATGCTAGACAATTTTTCTCTCTTGAATCTATCTTACATATCTATAAGTCTACCATTCATCCATGCTTAGAATATTGCTGCCATATATGGTCCAGTGCGCCTGCTTTATATTTACAGATTCTTGATAAAATCCAAACAAATCAGCAATATTATTGGTCCTGACTTGATATTTTGGCTTTGGTCACTTTCCCACATCCATAAAGTTGCTTCTCTTTACCTTTTCTATGAATACTTGTTCGTATGAGCTCTTTGTTATGGTACCTAGACTTTATGAATTTAAGTGCAGTATTAGATTAACAAGGTCCCATCAGTTTACAGTTGAATTGGTTAGATGTAACTAAGTTCTACGCTGACAGTTTCTTTTCTCGTACTTCTCTCTTTCCATTTTTGATCTTCAAAAATTTAAATGCAATGTCAATTATTATCTACTGTCTTATTGATTACTCTTCTATTGTTTTCACTCCTCAATAATGCTTGCATTTTCTAATTCTCTCATTACCAAGTAACTCCTTACGTCTTAGTGGCTTTACTGCTTCACACAGAGAGAATTCGATTAAAAAAAAAAATAAATAAAGTTCCATAAGAGAAACATAGTAAAGTATAGATTTTTCTGAAAGGTAGGCCTTTATGGATTTTAGCTAAAATTGGTCTGCTTCTACTCTGGCATTTCAAATCTTTAAAATTCTCTATATTGATTATCACTAAGATGCAACATGATTATTTTAAGACAAAAGCAATTAACTGAGAAACGGTTCTTTTTTTTTTTTATTGTCTTTTACTCAAGATCACTGTTGCAATGTGGAATGAACTCTCAAGGAAATGCTTCACAGATCACTACAATCTTAACCTCTTCAGGTCAAGGGTTAACTATTATCTATCCTACATATCCTCATAATATACAGCCCTTGCTCCCTTCCTATATGCCGTTATAACATCCCCATTTACTAAGCCTCCACTAAGTAGCACTTGGGCTTTGTATTCTGTGAACAATGGTAAAAAAAAAAAAAAAAAAAAAGGACACACCACACATTTCAAATAAAACATTTCCTCATGCCCTACAATTTGTGCCCACTGTACTGTCACAACTTCGTACCCATGAAACTGCAAAATAACAACATAGTCATTGTCCGAACTATTACAATCATCTGTTGTGATTACTGAAAGTTTCATGAACTCATTAATATACAGGGTGCCCCTAAAATCTATATTTTTTACCTCCACAGATTAAACATGTTTTTGTTGAAAGAAGAAAGAATTGACTTCTTTTTCTGGGTATATGCTAAAGGAGAAGGTGTACGCAATGAAAAACACAAAAACAACACACTTGATTGAATGCATAAAGAGTGAATGTGGTAAAATTGATGTCAATGTGGAGTTATTGCATTGAGTTCATGTGAATCTTGCAAAGCGTATCAACCTTTGTATCACAAATGATAGAAATCATATTGAAAATTGTATTTGTTAATATTCCAATTCAATAAAATGTTGAAAATTTAATTTTTTGAAAATATGGATTTTTGCCTAGGGTGTCCAGACTTTAGGGACACCCTGTAGATAAATAGAGTTGCCTGAAGACTGCAAGTATGAACTCGAGCTGTCCTTCACTGGCTGTCAACTTGTGAAGCGTTTTTTTTTTTTTTTTTTGCTCTGTTTAGATAATCTAGGTGTTGAGCACTTTAATTTACTGCATAGGTAGCTTTTTGTCGTTTGGTCTCTTTTTCTTTTTTCTTTCCTTGTTTGAGATTTTTTTTTTCTTGTTTAAGGTTGTAAGTCTTTTGGCAAGTTGTCTGTTGGTCATACCAACATTGTTGGGTTTATGTACAACAATACTAAAAAAAAAACTTGTTTGGAGAAAAGTTGGTTGGAAAGCATTAAACAAAAGAGGAACAATTTTAAAAGCAAAACAGAATTAACAATGGCGAAAACAGGAAAGAATTACCAAGCATAAAAATCTCCAAGCTTCTGGCAAGATTCATCAAATAAGTCCTGATATTCTCCAAGGAATTCAATTTCAGAATCAATCACAGGTCCTCGAAGAATAAGGTGGGCTTCTTGAAGGACATGTAGGTAAGCTTCTTGCCCACTATCTTGATATTTGGTAGAGAATACAATCTGAAAACCAAAAAGAACAACACCATTTAAGATTTTATCTAAAATATACCTAACAATATTTAATAACATTGATAAAATGCACTGAAAAATGGCTCAGTGGTGAAAGCATTGGTTTGAAGATAAAAGTATGCAGAGTTCAATTATGAAGTTGGTTTGATTAAGTAATCTTAGGAGATTACCATAAAGTTGATGGTAGAGGTAAAAAAAAAATTAACCAGGAAACCAAACAAATTACCATATATTCCAGCCTCAAGAACACACACCAATTATGACTTATAAAATTTTGATAAAAATGAATAAACATAAAATTAAAGTAACCTTCAGCTTGTAGAATGAAGGGCAAATTTTCAAGACATATTTAAAGAAAAAGAAAAGACTAAATTTAATGCCAGGAAATATAACACATGCAAGCTGTATTAGCCAACAGATTTCAGGATTTAAACAATAAAATATTGGAATAAAAATTTCATGCAATTTACATCTCATATCAATATTACCAATATGGAGTAGAAACATTCTTCTAATTTATAAGTTAGAAGGACAAGGCTTAATCTGACAAAGCCCCCATAGGCCAAAAATAGTCAGCATATCAATTTCTAAATATAAGACAAATACAGCAAGAAGACGACTCTCCACTCCTTAAGCAGTCATTTAAACATTTCCAAAGTCATTTTCAAACAGAGAATGGTTTGTGTCATTTACAATTTAATTTCAAATTACATCACTAATAATACATATAGTATAAATTGTAAATATTTTAAATACATGCATTTTACATTGTCAGTGGTATTGTGTGCATGATTTTGTTTAAAGGAAAATATTTTTTTACTCATCATCTTTTCTCTACTAGCAATGTCATAAATTGCATGCAAAATAATTCTTTGTTACATATGATAATTTATGTGATATGGGGAAAAATATGAGAAAGCAGATCAAATGCCACAACATTCAAAAAACTGATTTTATATCAAATACTCTATATTATATAAAGATATCTACATAAGCAAATAAACACCAATAACAATATAAAATAAGTTTAATAAGAAAAACCTGCTTGAAAACAAGCAACAAAAACCAATTTTGAAAATAACATCTGTACTAAGTAAACACTTATCTGGAAAGTTTTTTTGCACTTTTCATTTAAAATATTGAATCTAAGATTGTTTTAATTATGCTCTATTAAGAGCATAATTGAAACAATCTTAGATTCAATATTCTTATTCTTGAGTATTCCACATTTTTTCTACTTTTGTTCACTATTTCTTCATTTACTTTCATAAAAAATTTCTGTGTATTTAAATAGAGAAAATGAACAACAAATGTTTTTTGAAGAAATAAATTCAAATTTAATTTTTTTTCTAAATTCTGAAATGGCTTTGCTTTTTTTTTTTAATTTTTCATTAATAAATAGAAAAAGTCTGATTCACATGGCTATCTTGTTAAAATGTAATAAAAATTCAAAAATGTCAAATTCAGTTTTTGTTTTAAACAAGATTAATATATCAGTTTTATTTGAAAAATGGAAAGAAATATATGTATAGAAATAATAACAAATGTTAAAAAATAAAACCAAAAGCTAAGTTAATATTCAAAAGATAATTTTACCCAAATATTTCAGTAGCAGTATACTGGCAGATTGGTATGTTGTTTACCTGTTTATCTCCATATTGGAGGTTTGCATCAGGGTAAGGTATATATATATATATATATATATATATATATATATATATATATATATATATATATATATATATATATATATGTGTGTGTTTTTGTTGAAACAAAACAACCAAATAACTGAAAGTAAATTTGACTTTGGTCCAAGATAATTATTGTGGCAAAAATAAAAAATAGCCCATAGCAAAAGGTATTAAAGTTTTGATTGTTATATAAACAACATGCACTGAAGACAATCTCCAAGATAATCTCACTTTGTACAGATTTAGAAACTGTAAACTATTTTTTTTCTTTCTTTGTTAGTTTAGTTTGACTATTAAATCCTCACAGAAGCTATTTAATAATAGCTCAAAACACAAGGTAATAAAAAGCAGTTACAAATAAAAGCCACAAATTTGCAAACAAAAACCATTGGAAACAATGTACAAATGTACAACATTTTACACAGAACTAAAAAAAATATAGTCACATGAATTTATTTGGTCTCTAGTTTATATAGAATTGGAAGTTTTTACTATGAAAATTTTATGCAATTGCATGAGTGGGAGTTTGTGTATTGTTAAATATTAACAAAGAAATCCAACCTAGAAATATGAAATGAAAAAGCCAAGAAATAAAAACAAACACATGCACAAACACATGAGCACAGCATCTAAATTTCAATTTTAAAAAGTGGAATTATTCAGCCTCCCTTCAAAAAGAATTTAGAAACAGAAACATCTGAAATGAGACTAATTCATTGGTTGATTGATTTGTTTAATGGCATATCAACTCCTTATGGGTCATTTAATGCCAAAATTTAATTTTCTTGGGAGTTTTGAAGTAATAAAAATATGATATATGTTATTCTGCTTTCACAATTGAATACATGGTAGATAATACTCAGCTTTTGTGCATATACACGTTGTGTGGACATAATTATTAGATGTACTGATATGTGCATTTTATATTGTAGCTTTGTTGATGTTATATTTTGGAATTCAGTTTGATATCTTTATTGTAGGATATTACATGGATTAATATCATGAAAGTTCTTTCATATTGGATGTCTGGTTGATTTTTAGTGATATATCAACACCTCTATGAGTCATTTAATACTGAAATCTAAATATTTTGAACAATTTTATGGCTTCAATTAAATATTTTGAACAGAGTTGTATGTATTCAACTACAGATAAATTATATTGTTGGTCATCTTGCTATAAATATAATTTCATAGTGTTTTGTATTTGTTTGTGGGGTGAGGTTCATTATTCGCCCATACTTTGGACACTAACAGGTGCTACTACCCCAGGTCAGGTGGACCTGGGAACAACAGCAACTAAGAGTTGATTCCACACTCCTCAAAACCCCCAACCTTCTGATCAGAGGCTTTGCTGCTAGATGTAGTTTATTGTCATACCCAGGACACTATCATTGGTTGAGATTTTATCCACAAACAATTCAAACAAATAAAATAGTAACGGTGAGATTAGACGTTTCCATGCAGGGAACATTCAGTATTCAAAGATTGAACAGTCATTGTCGGTTAAGATTTATATAATCTTTGTCTTAAACCAGTTTTTCAGAAAAATAGACTTCAAGACCACCATTATTACTTTTTCTAGTACTGATGGGAGTTTCCTTGCAATCCTTTTGTTTTTGGTAGTGTGTAAAGTTAACAGCTTGATTATATTATTACTTTATATTCTAGTTAGATGTGTTAACCATTTCTTCAGAAGAGAACTAGCGAAGTCTAGTTCAGGTATAAACAAATAACTAGCAATGACAAACACAGATAATATGTGACAAAGATGTAATAATGAATGGAAAAAGTTAAAATAAATATGTACAACACTTGTTCAGAGTGAGAAGTAATATTTATTTGCAGTGACAATAAACCTAAGGCAATCATTTCAACCACAGATTTGTCAATAGGAGTAGATAGGTTTGCCTATTATCCAGTTCATACTCTTTCCCAGTCTTTTGAACAGGAGTAATCACTTGTTTCCTATTTAGGATTGGGTTTCCAGTTCATTCTATAGTCTTTTCATTCTCCTTCACTCCCCTTTGTGCCCTAGTGGTATTATCACCTTGCTCGGTGTAAATTAATTAAAAAAAAAAACAAAATTCCTAATACTTTGATTTGTAGAAAAAAAGGGTTACAGTTAATATTTCCATGCAACTTTTGATTTGTGATGCTACAAAATGCCTCACAATTCTGAAGAATCTGAATAGTCTGTGATTATGACAATTCCAATAACAAAATAAATCATTCATCCAATTTTTACAACTCCATTAAATTTATTTTTTTTTAAATCCCGATTCCATACAAAAATTCAACAAGAAACATTTTTTTTCTTTTTTAGACACTTCAAATTCAGAGCCAGAATCAAAATTAAATAAAAAAGAATTTTTCAAGATTCCTAAAGAGCATTCTTATTCTTATGCAGCGCTTTACAGAAAACAAATAAATTTTACCATAACTCATATTGTATATATAGATTGTTTAAAACTTTTGACAGCATTGACACACTTTTTTTTTACAGGTCAAGAAAACAAAAGAAATAATCCAAACAAAGAAATCTTCTTGAAAAGTAGAAACTATCAAAATACAAACATCTGTTCTAAACCATCACAGAGAAATACGACACAAAAACGAGAGGTGGTGTTTAGTCGTGTATGTAAATCTGTACGATAAGAAAAAGAAGTTTTTCTAATCAAATTTCAAGGCTATTTTTATAAATAACATTTTTACTTGTGATTGCAATAACTGAAACAATTATTAGTCATTCTAAAATATTTTCACAAAATTTGGCTTATTACAATAAACATTATATTTAGTGAGTACCCTGTCTATTAAATAAAATATGCTTAAACAATGAGTTTCTGCATGAGTGTGTATATGGATGCGTGAGTGTGTATAGGTATACGTGCATGTATATATAAGGGTTGATTGATAAATAAGAACTCAGATTCTATAAAACCAGTTATAGACCAGATAAAATAATGAAACTACTATCAAAATAAAGTAAATTTATTTTTCTTCAAAATTACAAGCTTATTTTTCAACATAGTCACTATTCAGTGATATTTTCCTAAAGACAGTAGGAAACCTTACTTATCAATCAACTCTAGAGAAACACACGTTTACCCCCATTATTCAAAAATAAGCGTTCCTATGAAACATTTTGTAAGCTCAAATGGAATTTAAGCAAAGAAGTAATTAATGTCAATTTACAAAGGGAAAAATTTTTTAGATTCACAGACTGAAAAAATTGTTAAAATTGACAATGCTGTAGCATTTGCAGAAAATGACATTAATTTTCAAATTACGGGCAGGT